GCCTAGGACAGAGCCTTGCGGTACACCACATGTTAAAGGCAGCATGGGAGATGTTACATTTCCGTACTGTACAAATTGAAATCTTCTATAAAAATAGTCCTTAAACCACTGTAATGCTATTCCTCGTATTCCATAGTGTGAAAGTTTGCTGTATAAAATATCATGATTAATTGTATCAAATGCTTTCTTAAAGTCTACAAATATCCCAAGTGTGATTCTTCCCTCATCCATTGAATTCCTCAAAGTGTTAACTAAATTTATCATTGACAATTTTGTACTGTATTTTTTACGGAAGCCATACTGGTGCTCATATAATACATGATTTTTTTCAAGAAAGTCAAGAAGCCTATTATTTACAATTTTTTCAAAAACCTTCCCAAGAACAGGTAATACTGAAATAGGTCTATAATTTCCTGCTTCTTCTTTAGGTCCTTTCTTATAAACAGGTGTCACTTTTGCTATTTTAAAGGCATCTGGGAATTTACCAGAGGTGAAAGACAGATTAGGCGCATTTATACTGTCAAATACCTCATTTTGAAAAGTCGCGATGTTTCGTGCACCCGGTTACACTTGTGCTGAAACATCACCGACGGAGCTGTTCAGCGATGTTTTGGCGTGTTTCGGTTGGTAATGCGCATGTGCAGTCTTCCCGACCTTTGACCCCGGCCTGCTATAAGATTTTTAGCGCGCGCAATTTCCAGCTAGCGCTATAGCTAGCTAAATAGCGATACATCCCATGCGCATGCATGCGATATGTTTTGTTTATCTCGCGTGTAGTATTTGAGGCAAGAGTGGATAAGTTACGAAGTACGGACTACGGCTGCTGATTCAGTTTTCCCAAATTCAATCGAAATCTAGTAGTAAAAACGATATGGGAAGGTTAAGAAAATCATCGTTGTTAATTGTTAATTTCATGCTTTCACTCATTTCTCTGAAGCCCTTTTCCCCACGTTTGCAGGGACGCTTGGAAGTCTGGTGGAGGAGCTCTCCCTGCCTCCACATCGAAATCAAGAACTTCATCTCATCATCAGTCCAATGGGAATTGTTCACTTCAATATTAATTAATCTAACAAAACACTCAAATACTACTACTAGACAGATATGGCCAGACGGGAATAACGAAGATTGAATAAAGGATGAGTTAACGGAATTGGAACAAACGGAGCTGAATGAACGGATAACACGCGCGACGATGGAAATGCTATAAATATCACACGGGAAGAACGTGGTTTAAAAGAGCGCGGGTAACGATCCGGAAGTGCCGGAAGTCACGTGCCTAACATCGCGATGTTACAACTGCGAGCGGTTATACTTGCCAAACACGCCAAAACACGCCAAAACACGCCAAAAGATCACACTTCGTTTTGGAATGTTTGGGGCTTGGCATGTCTGCCGGTAAAGCGTAGTTGCCCTTGGTAACATCGCGGCCAGGCTCCGGTTTGGCATTTTTTGGCGTGTTTGGATGACAGTGTAACTGCCCCTATTGAAAATAAATGTAAGGGGAGAAGTTACATAGTGCACAGCATCTTTTATCAGCTTGATTGGCATATTATCATACCCACTAGCTTTCTTTACATTCAAGGCTATTAAATGGTTGCTAACCTCAGTCTCAGTAACTGGTTTCCAGAAGAAAGATTTGTCTACACCATCGTCTAAAACTTTCTCTGTATTACGATTTGTGTTTGGTATGGCATTCGCCAAATTTGGACCAACATTAACAAAGAAGTCATTAAATGCATTTGCAATATCTTGTTCATTACACAGGGTTTCATTAGTACCAGTATCATTCACACACAATTTATCCACCACTGTTGGCTTAAACGAATTGTTTCCACCACTTAAAATCTCGTTTACAGTCTTCCATGTTTTGCTAGTATCACCCTTATTTTCAAGGAATATCCTACTATAGTAATTTCTCTTTGAGTTTCTGATTATTGTAGTTAACATATTCCTGTACTTCTTGTATGTTGTTAAATAGACAGGATTGTGGTTGGTGGCAAGAACCTGTGAATACATTGTATGTTTCTTTTTTATGGAATTCATTATAGCTTTTGTAATCCAAGGTTTCTTAGGTTCGTTCTTTCTCCTTTTACCGTGTTGAGCTACAACTGGTGCATGCTCATCACACACTTTTGTCATGATTTCACAAAAACGGGAGTATGCGAGATCAGCATCATCCGCTGCATAAACTGATTCCCATGTTATATTGGCAAGCTCAGCATGGAATTTTGTAACATCATAGTTCTTGTAAGAACGAGACATTAATTTTCCTCGGCAAGACTTTTTCTTAAATTGTATATTAGACTTAAAAATGGTAAAGATCGGAAAGTGGTCTGTAACGTCAGATTCAATTATTCCTGCATGAATACTGGGAACATTCATATTGGTATATATATGATCAATCAAAGAGAAGCCATGTTGCGTTACTCTAGTAGGAAAATTAATCAATTGATGCATGCCGATACATTGCATGGAGGTGAGAAAGTTATCAGCTGCCATTTCATCGCCTAGAAGATTGATATTGAAGTCTCCAGTTAGCACACATTGACTTTTGTCTAATTTCAGATCATGTACAATACTTAACAGACTATCCTGAAACTCATGAATATCTGTATTTGGCTTGCGATAGATGACACCAATAATGATCTTCTTTTCATTAATTACTACTTCCAACCAAAGTGATTCAGCATGTGCTACTTCAAAATTTCCCAAAAGCCTGTATTTAAGGGAAGAGTGAATGTATGCACCAACACCTCCACCTCTTAAAGTATGATTGCGGCATTTCACCTCTAAAGTATAGCCTTGTATGCCCAAGATGGATGTGTCTGGTACGCTCCACACTTCAGATAAACATATTATATCAAATTTTGATTTGATACTACATTCGTATAACAGTTTTAGGTTTTCTATATTTCTATTCAAAGATCTGATATTGACATGTGTAAGAGAAAATGCATTTTCAGTTTTGGTTTGCAGAACATCATCAAAATTAACAGGAGTTAATTTGTGTGAACTAAGACACAGATTGAGTTCATTGTCCTCCATTTTAAAGTCATTTTTCTATTAATGACTTAAAATTACTCAGATAAAAAGAAAATCAAGCAATGACAAATAGCTTGAAGCGAGCGTAATCCATATCATCAAGTCCAAGATCAAAAAGGTCATCAGGGTTGCGAATTGTTTTAAAATCGCCATCATCCATCTTGCAGACAATTGTTCCTGACCTTGTCGCCACACTCTTGACTCCATCTATCTTTTTGGCCGCCATCATCACCGAGTACCTCAGCCTGGTTAGGTCCTCATTCACATACACCCTCGTGAAGTTGTCCTTGTCTTTCAGACCAAAACGTGCCTGGTACAGGGCATCCCTCCTCCTCCTTGTTGTGAAGCGCACAACAGACTGACGAATCTTCTCCTTATCTGGTGACCACTTCCCTATACGATAACAGGACGAGATGTCAGATGGTTGAATTTCAACATCCACTGCTTTTGCCAATCCAATGACCTTTCTTATTAGGTCATCTTCAGACTCTTCGCCTTCTTCTTCTTCACCATTTTCTGCTAAGCCGCTAATGCGCAGATTTTCTCTTTTTGTTTCCTGCTCCATCTCATCCATGCGAAATTGTGACCGCAGGATCACAGGATTGACAGATTCTTTTACATTGACCATAAAAGCATCTCTCACTGCTTGAACAATGGCTGGTATTGCAGTTTTAATTGCTGCCTCCACTGCACTGGTTATAACCTGTGCCATATTACCATCACCTCCGTAATTCATGTCCCCTAGCTGGTCAGAGAGATCATCAAAATTTATGAAGACCCCCTTGTCCTTCGATGATTCATCTCTGCTTGTGGTGGCTGTCATACCTTGCTGCCTTATTACCTCTTGGTTTACCCCCTCATGAGCGTTAAAAGGACGTTTAGGTGTTGGCATGTATGAGAATGTATGAGACATGACTTAAATGTCATCTTGAGACACAGATTATCAGAATTTGAGGGAGCAATGAGAACATTGAAGGGGGGGGGGGAAGCTTTCTGTGGATTTGAAATTTAGTGTCAGACAGATCTGCCTTTAGGGAGCTATCTGGTGATTTTCTCATGTACCTTGTAATGAAAGCTCTTGGGAAGACACCAATACTTGAAATATGAGGTTTATCACGATTTCAGGAATTTTGTTGCAATTCTCAAATCTGCTGTGAAAAGCATGGGGAATGTAGCAGTTGCTTTTGAGTGATGTTCTCAACCAAATTTTCTTGATGAAAGTGATAGCTCTTCCGATTATTGAAATATGATATGGGGAGTTTCTGCCTATATGAAAGTGAAATTAGCACATTAAACAGAAATTTTGATGGTGTGAGATAGATGTAGGAAATGACAATTTTAACATATTTTCCTACGTTGAAAATGCGCTTTCACCATTATTTCAGTTATGTGTGGCCTTTACCTTTACACTTAATAATCTTCTTTTCATATCTATATAAATGTATTAATTGTATAAATGCAAATAGTTTCATACAAATACAAATGTTGTGTTTCACTGGTAAAGTCAATAAATTCATTTTATAGTCAGAGTAATACTGTTTTATAGCTTTGCTGATGTGCTATATTATGTCTTGAGTGATGCCTGGTTGTTTGTTTAATTGATAAGAAAGAAGAGAAATAATGCCATTAATGCTTAGAGATAAGAAATGCAAAGAGGGTAGTATTATCACTGGCCTCGTCAGGGGTAGCACAGTTGGCCTGAGCCCCCCCCCCCCCCCCCCCCATTTGCATTATCAATCCTGTGCTATACAATATACAGGTTAATACACACAAAAAATTCTCAAAGGGTCCAGATTAAAATAGGGTCTTTATGCATGAGCCCTTTGTTATTTTTTTTTTAATTTAGGGATGCCCACACCTATACTTTTACACAGACTCTGAAAAGCAGTGTTATTATTTATAAATTTGCACACTGAAACAAATTCTCATTATTCTACTTTTAATAAGTTTTTGACTAAAACGATTTATATTTTCTTGTCATTGCAGTGAAATATCTGAGGGAAGTGACGCCATACTTCAGACGGAGCACCATCATAGGTGAGGTGGGCTGGGACACACCGTCGCCTTACATCATCAAAGAACCCGGTGCAAACGCTCAGGTTACCCGCAACCATTGGACTGAAATGAAAGTCATACCTCTCAAACTGTGCTACGTGACACGAAACCTCACAATAAACGACACCGACCAGAGAACTGTGGAGCTCCACTCGCCCGACGGGAGGAGCTCGTGTATAGTGCGGTGTACGGATGTGACGTCAGCGAACGAGTGGTTCAGTGCATTACACGCGAACGTGTCGTTATTAGCGATTCAGGCGGTGTGCGAAGCGAACGATATTCTCAGGTCGACGCCAGGAAGCAGAGAGGTCAAGCACATGGGCTGGTTGTGTGAACAGGTGAGAAATCAAAACAAATACTTGTATCAATACTGAAAAACAGTGCACTTACAACTCATATATGCATTTGATTCAGTAGTATTGTGAATGAAGTGGTGATTCTTTGCACTGTTTCCAGTAGGACCAGTGACTTTTCACAAATAATGAAAAACATTTTTACATTACCATCATTGACTTACGGTAGTTTGCCCCCTCTCCCCCCCCCCCCCCCCTAAAAAAAAAAAAAAAAAAAAAATTATAATAATAATTTAATGTTATATTAAGAGATTATTTTTTCTCTAATGAAATGGATGAATTGCCTATTTGAACAACAGTTACTTGCGAATCACCCAAAAGTTAGGTTTAATTTGTTCTCTTGTTTTTGCAGATATTTTGTAGTGTGTAGAATACTAATACCATTAGGTCAGTGTCATAGGATACAGTGCTAATGAACTTTTGAAAGGGATATAATTTATGAAACGAACAGACAAATTAAGCAATCACTGTCTAAATTTGTAGAACGGCATGGCCTTAAATGTTTTTTTCATGTTTTTACTTGCATTTTATTTCAGACGAGGAGCAACTTTAGCTGTTTTATTCCATCAGTTATCAAATCATTAAGAAATATAACAAATTGGTTCCGGTGGCTCAACAAATCTGTACATGTGATTTCACAAAAGAGACATACACGTTTAACATATTCTCTATGTGTGCCGGCCTTCAAGCAATTTAAAAGAAATTAATTGGAAAACAAATGAAGCCTGCCTTAAGCTTATAAATTATTCCGGAAATCATGTGAAGTAGATATTAAAATAATGAATGCTTGCTCCTCTGTAACTCTATTGCCTGTTTACCCTCCGAATGAAACTTTGAAGGTTCTTTTTGTTTGTTCTCATAATGTAAATTATCATTAAATCAAAGGGAAAACTAACATTCCAAACCTATCTGTAGAAGACAAACTCATAGAATTTGATAAATTATGGTGCAAGAATGTAAAATGATTTATGATCTGTCAGACTTAGTTTGATGCTAAAGTAATTTTATTCTCAGTCTACAAATCAACCACTTTTTAGAGTCAAACAAAACTAGTAACCCTATCCCTCCCTTTAGAAGAATCAGGGTTATCAAACAATGATGATAGAAAATATGGTCACAGGGCTTGATTACAAAGTTTCAGTTTCATCATTGTTTCTCTGACAGCTTCTGTCAAGTTTTTATTATTATTTCCATCAAATCTACCTTCACTCGTATAAAGGAGGGGACAGGGTTGATTCATCATGAATTGATTTAAATGATGGTATCACTCTCAAAAGCAAGGTTTTTATTAGGAATAAAAACTGTAGGTGTTTATTCCTCATGGTATAGTTTGATCTCCAACACATATTTATCTACAAAAAATATGGTACCTATATGTACATAATTTGCAAACATTCATTAGGTTCTAATTAGATAATATTTTACTTCACTGTATATTTTTCTTAGTTATGTTGAATGTTGAGGTCAACTATTTAGACAACCTCGGTGTATTTTTACCCTATTTTTCTTTGCTGGGCCAGAATACCACATGCTTTGAAGTAAACAAATAAATATTTATGATAAAAATTTACACTTGAACTTGTAGACTAACATTATACATGTTCTTTTCTTGTGCTATAGTGTCATACAGAAGCAGACCTCTCGGCGTGGAAACCAGTGTTTGTAGCAATCACAGATAAGGATTATCTGATGTACGACAGTGTGCCCTTCACAAGAGAAGAATGGGGTAAACCTTTCCAAAGCAACTCACTTCTTGCCACTAGGTAAGTTACATCACTTTAAAAACTCTCTGCACGAAGCACCCCCTACCCCTAAGCCCTACCCCCCCCCCACAAAAAAATAAATAATAATAATAATACCAAAAAAATTGTGTCTGTAGTTGGATCTTCTGTGGCAAATCATGCCCTGTTTTTTTTCTTCTTTTTTTTTAGGTCTGATATAAAAATAAATTAAAATATAACAGGGCAAAAGAAAGTGAGTGATGATTGTTGCAATATTCTGTTTCAATACATATATTTCATGTCAAATTTGTATGGAAGGCCCGATGAAAGTTTAGAGATTTCTAAATCGTCTGTTTGTCTCTCTATCTATTTCCCTCCCCCTCTTCTCTCTCCCTCTCTTCTCTCTCTACCTTCCTGCAGGAGATACCCTTTCTCCTCTATTAACCAACTTTCCAGCTTTCGTTAGAGCGATCAGTACAATGCTGGTCAGTGGAAGGTGAAAGTCGTATCATTGCTTTGTATCCTCTTGGTGATGCAAGAATATCACCTGCGCATTAGATTCACTTTTACAGGGAGGCGAGGCCCCGAGGGTCGCCAGATTAAACTGATTAAGTCCGCTTGCTGACCTCCTAGACATCAGGGACTGATGAATACTTTATGATTTCAATATCAATATTATCAGGGGCATCATACTTTTGAGAGGGGCTGGAGAGCATTGTAGGGTACTCCCTGAGAGGAGGAGGGATGTTGGTTTGATTTGCGTAAATTTTTTATTTCTTGGATGATGAGATAAATGTTTCAACCTGCAGGGATGTCTGGTGTCCAATTTGTCTTATCTGTTCTTGGACTTTGAGAGTATGTGAGTGTCTTTAAAGATAAAGACCAGTTATGGTCATGCGATTGCATTGTGAAAGAAACATTGTGGAATCGATCAGAAAAGGTTGATCATCTAGCATATAAGTATTGGTGTGTACTGCAAGGTTCTGGAATCATCAAAATGATAAGAAATTTGGCCCAGTCATTGTAAAGTTACAAGCACTGTACACAGAAAGATGTATATGGGACTATGCACACGTGCACGACACGTGCGTTTATCTCTCACACATCAATAGATAAACTAATTTACCAAATATATCAATTAGTAGGCGGTTTCCCGGCAAAAGTTTTATCATCATGTATTAGTCAAAACATATTCCTTCACATGATTGGTAATAAGAGCTTCCATTTCATTTTTTGAAATTGGGGCGTTTCCAATACTGGTCTTTACCTTTAAGTCTTCTTGTCAGAAAAAATTCTGAATTGGCCTCAAATTGTAGTTAATCGTACTCCTGGTCTGACTTCACTACGATTCTGAACCGATTTAGCTTTTCTTCCTTCAAGGAAGCTTGAAATCCCCTAAAACTTAGATTTGAATAATCCCATGACCAATCAGATCCTCAATCATTAATACTTTACATGTTTGAACTTTCATTTAATATTCTGTTGTGAATTCTTCCAAAATTGGACCACAGTCGGATCGTGTAGTCTCCAGCCGGTGTGGAGATATCTTTGTGCAGTATTCTACGGGTTAATGTGTGGACATATTCATGAGGTTGTGGAGGTCAATGGTGTGGCAGTCAAACCATCCATGTCAGTCTGTTTATCACTCCCTATCTTCATCAGATGCTGTCCCACACAGAAACATGGAGCAAACAACTCTTGTATCTGTCAAACTACTGCCGTGTCTGTGTGTGGTTTCAAACTACTTGAGCGATCTCTGTTACCGCAGAGTGAGAATTCACAAAAACAAGATCACCTTGACAATCTCAGCCTCATCTATACATTCTAAGCTTATTGCTCATCCTTTCCTCTCCTCTTCCCTTCCCGAGAATGTCCTCTAATTGCTATCTTTAAGCCATATTTGTTGCCAATTTCTGTTGTTGATAAAGACACATACAAAAGAGAATAGGACAAAAATGAAGAAGAGGAAAATATAGTCATATTAATGATACTTTGCCTTTTTTTTACTGGGTACATTTACTAATTACATACCGGTAACTCAATGCCATGCAATAATTTCTTTATTCAATTTATGAGCAAGTAAATGCTTGTTTTCCTACACCTCACCGTCTTTATGTAACATGTTTGTGTTTTTACGTATATCTCAGTTTAAAAGTCAGTTGCCCTCTTTAAAATAAAGAAAACACTTCTTATACATGTACTTTCACTATACCCAGTGATAGACATAGTATCAGCTTAGGTAAGGTTCAAGTGATTACAAAAATATTCACAGGCAGTCTTTCAGAAAAAAACTCAATATAGACATTGATATCTTCAAGATATTAAATAGGCATGAGTATCGTATTGAAAGAGTTACCCTATTATAAACAAACATACCTCATTCTACCCAAATTTGAAGGAAAAAAAATAATGGTTGTCAGTAAACTCTCAAGTTGTCTGTTTGGAGCCAGAAGGGCATTAACTCACATCATTTTACACAGAGATAACACCCTTCCAGCTCCAAGCAGACAGATGAAATGTTGTTATCAGTCATCATGTTCTTTGATGTTGTTTTTCTCCTTTTGTTTCCCCGATGGAGAGATTAAATTGTAATGTTGAAAGGGCTACCCTGTTTGAAATGAAATCAAGAACCACAAACTCAGGAGCTAGAGCATTATAAATTGTATGATTTCTTCATCAGATGATATAGGAATAAAACCATCTAGCACACTCAGAAAATTGAAGTTTGAAGATACAGTAAATGAAAAGAAAAGCTGGCATGGAATGGAGTATACTACACAAATGTGCAGTGAAGACTTGCATGCCCTACATTGTACTAGCGAGGGGCATTAAATAGATACAAAACTGGTGAGAATCTGATATATATGTTATTGCTGATGAATCTAAATGCCAGTATCAGATTCTGTTTTGCTAGACATTGTGTCTACCATACTGGACAATTAGTGATATATGCTCCAAGATTTCTTTATTTTTATTTATATATATTTTTTTGCCAACGGCATGTGGATTTTGGACATCAAAATTAGCTACTGAATTAAAACCAGTTAATCTTTCCACTCCTCTATGGTACACTGTTCACTCTGCTTTGTATGTTATTGTTTGGAATCTCCATTGAATGCATTTCATAGTTCATACGATAATTGGTTTACTAAATCAAACATGAATACAAAATGACAAATGAGATACATCGGACAAGAAGATGGACAAGAAGATAAGTGACTAGGCTTCATCATGTTTACAAACAATAGACCTTTATTATTTATGGATCCATCGCCTCTCTCTCAACATTTTTAATGAGTATTAACAAATAGTGCGCTCAACCCAGACACCTTGTTAATGGTGTTGTCCTTTTCACCCCGTCCTGCCACACCTAGTTGACTAGATTAGGTAGAAGGACATGTACATGTATCACCTGTAATCGCCTGTAATCATATTGCCCTGGTAGTAATAAACATGGTGGTAATGTATTTTAGGGAAAGGAGTGGGAGTATCCTGGTTTACTGAAGGTCTGCAAGACCAGTGGTTCACAGGGGCAGATCCATGATTTTATGACGTTGGGGAGGGGGAGGGGGGGGGGGGGGTTGGGGGTTCGAATTTTAAAGGAAAAATGTACATGCAAGTAAGGGATGCATCTTATTTTGGTGTACCTGTTCTGTCTAGTATTCTCTAAAAAAATATTTTTTAAAAGTTATCACATTTGTTTCCCATCCAAATTTACTCTAATCTCTGAGACGAGCAACAACAAAGAGGAGAGAGAGGTGGGGGGGGGGACTTGGAATATCCCCCTCCCCCTTGGATCCCGCAGTGGTAAACAAGGCAAAAGGTCCATATATAGACCAAACATTCATGAGACTAATAAATTTGATCCAGTAAATCCTCTGACAACTAGTTGACAGTTTTAGGAGACCAAAGGTTCATGAGACTGAATACCACGTACATTCCTCCCCCTAGATAGTAAATTCATGAGACTGTATTTCTCAGTCTAGTTGACCTTTGACCTTTGAACTTATGAACCTTTTATTATTTACATTGATTAGTAGATTTAGAAACAATATTAACTTGAAACCGTCATGTGCCTTGTATAATTGCACCTGGATGTTTTCCTGTCAATTTTTAATTTGAAAATGGGTATTGATAATGTGTTTACATCTTCTACAGCAATCAAACCATGTGTTCTTTAGATTTCATGAAGCTTTTCAGAAGGAGTATTCTTATTCAACGGTAAACTGGCTCAGCATAAATGTACCCTGGTTTGATGACATTCAATGTCATTTGAATTTGAGATAAGACTATAAACTGATGATTTAAAGCATAATACTTTTTCAATCAGTGATGAAATATGGGTTATGTAGGTACCTACACTGTGTGTGTGAATGTAATACCACGAGGCAGCCTCTTTTATCAAATCATTTCATTCAGACATTACAAGTATCTCATTTCATAGTGGATGTGAAAATATAGTTTGGTTTTTTATATTTAATATGTCAACTTGGCGCTTTTGTTTGAATAAAATTCTACCTTCTGAATAATGAGGACACAGCAGTATTACATGGCTCATCAACATTTGCATGTCTGATGCACTTTCAACAGAACCATTTATCACTCAACATCTAATGATGAGTGACGACCAGAAAGTACCCCATTCCTACCAGATGGTTGTAAGCGTTTCTCACATTTATTATTCAATTTATCTAATGCTTATAAGTTATAGACCATAAATATCTCCACACCCCCTTGGGGGGGGGGGGGGGGACCTCTTGTCATAGGGTATTTCATCAGTTTTAATTTCCTAGTGGTTTCATATCTACTGTAGCAAGCTTTCTGTTTAAGTGTATGTGAAATTGTGAAGTTGGTTCATGTTTTTAAAATTTTGATCTGAATGCTTACATGATCGTCCAAAGATGCATTGTTTTGCAGTAAGGTGTGTGTGATAGGCTTTATACATCTCTATGATCTCATAGTAGTAACTTCACATCTACAGTAGTCAGTATACTGCACAAAGGCCTTTGTATAGTCGTGTATTATTCAACTTCATTTATTCC